TTTCTTTATAGTCCAACTCTCACATCCATACATGACCACTAGAAAAACCATAGCCTTGACTAGATGGACCTTTGTTGACAAAGTAATGTCCCTGCTTTTTAATATGCTGTGTAGGTTGGTCATAACTTTCCTTCCAAGGAGTAAGCATCTTTTAATTTCATGGCTGCAGTCACCATCTGCAATGATTTTGGAGCCCCACAAAATAAAGTCAGTCACTGTTTCCCCAGTGATGGAACATCACTTCATGGCAGATAGATGGGGAAAAATGGAAACAGTGGCAGAATATATTTTCTTAGGCTCCAAAATAACTGCGAACAGTGACTGCAACTATGAAATTAAAAGATGCTTGCTCCTTGGAAGAAAAGCTATGACAAACCTTGACAGTATAATAAAAAGAAGAGATATCACCTTGCTGGTAAAAGTCCATAATAGTCAAAGCTATGGTTTTTCCAGTAGTCATGTTCGGATGTGCGTGTTGGATCATAAAGAAAGCTGAGCACTAAAGAATTGATGCCTTTGAACTGTTGTGCTGGAGAAAACTCCTGAAAGTCCCTAGGATAAGAAGGGGATCAAACCAGTCAATCCTAAAGAAAATCAACTTTGAATATTTATTGGAAGGACTAGTGCTAAAGCTGAAGCTCCAGTACTTTGGCCACCTGATGCGAAGAATTGACTCACTGGAAAAGGCCTTGATGCTAGGAAAGATGGAGGGTGTGAGGAGACTGGGGCGACAGAGGATGAGATGGTTGGATGGTATCATCGACAGAATGGACATGAGTTTTGCAAACTCTGGGAGATAGTTAAGGCAAGCCTGGTGTGCTGCAGTCTATAGCATCACAAAGAGTCAGACACAATTTAGCGACTGAACAACAATAACAGCCAATGGCAATGTGTGTCAGTGAGAAAGAGATATTTAGTATATTTACTAGCGTTTGAGGAGAAAAATTACATTTGATTCCTATCTAACTTCTTGCTACAAAATAAATTCCAAAGGTTTAAACATAAAATGAAAAATCATTAAAATAATGAGAAAATAATCTTTGAATTCATAAAACACTATGCAAGCAACCCACTTATTCATCAGAGTAAAATAGATAAGCACATGTGATATATTCACACATGACAATAACATACAACAATGAAAATTAATGAACTATAGCTACACACAATGACATGCTTGAGTCTTAGAAACGTAATGATGTGTTTCCTTTCATATGGAATGAATTGTGAGCAAACTACATTTTTAGGGGTGCATTCAAATGAGGCAAAATTGTAAAGAAGCAAAAGGACATGATTATTACAGGAATCAGGGTGGTGGTTACCTCTTGTGTGAGCCTGGTACTGTTAACAGCAAGGACCTATAGGAGGCTTCTGGGTGATGGCTATGTTCCATTCCTTGACTTGGTTAATGACTTTATGGGTGTATATTTGATAGTAACTCATTAATCTATTAATACAGGTTTATAAACTTTCTTGTATGATAGTTATATTGCACCATCAAAGGAGAAAAATAAAAAGCATTATGTAGTTTGATGTTTGGTATTTAGCATTATACCTTGGGCAAGTTTTTATTCTGAAGTTATTTTTATTTTTTACTGTCCTCCTGGATTCCCCTATATTCGCAGTTGTTAGCATTTAGAGGAATCTCTTATTTATTTTTCTCAAGGGGCTTTGCAGCCCACTTTCTGGGGGATGCTATAATACCAGGAATTAAATCATACTAGAGACACATATGGAAAATCGTATGATTGTATGGCTGCTATCAAAATTCCATTGCACTGCTGCATGGGATAAGCCTGGCTCTATCTTCCTCCAGTACAATCTGGATTTCACTTCTAGATCTATACAAAGATGATTTCCAGTCCTGGGTTTATGGGATTGAATTTATTAATTTATAAGGATTAAATTTGCCTTTCAAAGCTGTTGTAATGATGCCTACTATGAATTTTAATGAAATAAGACAAATCATAGCATAGATGATTGCTCTAGAACCAGCTATTACAAGTTCTGGTGGCTTACATGTTAAAGAATCTGCCTGCAATGTGTAAGACCTGGGTTCCATCCCCGGTTGGGAAGATCCCTTGGAGAAGGGAATGGCAACCAGTCCAGTATTCTTGCCTGGAGAATTCCACGGACAGAGGAGCCTTGCAGGCTACAGTTTGTGGGATCACAAAAAGTTGGACACGTCTGAGCTACTAACACACACAGAACGAGATATTAATAATAATGTCTCTCATTGCATACATTTAAGGGAAATGGTGTTTAAAATGGGTTTAATGCGATTGCCTGTTGTTTCATCTCATTGCTTGATATTTTTTTAACAATGGATCCTGACCTTTCTCCCCCATATACCCCAGGACATTTGTTTATTCACTGCTCACTAGAGGGAGGCCGTTTCCAGTTGTATTCCTTTTCAGAGGCTTTGTCTTCTGCCTGGGAAATGGATTCCTCCAAGGCTACTATCTGGTTTACTGTGCTGAATACCCTGCTGAGTGGTACACAGACATACGGTTTAGCCTGGGTAAGTAAACCTGACTGCTTCTAACCTGTACCCTAGTTAACACCACTTTCTAAGGCTATATCACCATCACCTCTCCCCATCCTATTATAATAAACACTCAAGGATTCCATTCCTCCTCCCCTACCACGACTATCTCCACTCTGGTCTTTTCTCTGTACAGCAGCCGGAGAGATCTTTTAAAAATATTATGGCATTCCCCATTTCAAAATCCTCCAATGCATTTCTGTTACTCTCAGGATAAAATACAAATTCCTTACCACTGCTTGTGAAACCCAATGTTCTTGATCCTGTCCTGACTTCACCTCCTATCTCCATCCATCTTATTTACTGTACTGTAGCCTCAGTGGCCTTCCTGCTGGACCTGAAATGGTCAAGTTTGTCCTGGCCCAGAGCTGCTGTGCAGTGCAGAGTGAACATTTGAACACACGAATGGCCAGAGGATTTGTTGTATGAATGCCAGAACATGAACACAATGGAATATTCTGAAGCCTCAGAAAAACAACCAAAGCAAAACAAAAGCAAAGAATGTCTCTTTTTCATGTGGAGACTTCTCTAGAACACATGGTTTTGTAAAAAAGAAAAAGTGTGCATAGTGTGTATACCATGCTGTTTTCTGTGTAGAAATAGGACAATGTTTGTGTGTGTTTAAAAGTGGAAGAGCAAATATTGGATTGATAAAAAAAGAAACTATTTTTTAAAAAAGAGTATCTCTAGGGTTTAGGGTAAAGAGAATGGGATGGTGGAAAGAAATATTATTTTAAGATAGCTTTGTCCTTTGAATCATGAAACTTCAAAACATAATTAAAAATCCATTAATTAAATTTAATTAAAAACTTGATTAAAAGTTCCTCAACATTGAGAACAAATAAATAAATGTATCTAACTGTTTAGTTATTAAACTGGTAGCCATGGACGGGAGAATGTTGGATCCCACCAAAAAAGATACCTCACATCCAAGGGCAAAGGAGAAGCCCCAGCAAGATGGTAGGAGGGGTGAAATCACGTTTAGAATCAAACCCCATACCCACCAGAGGCACTTGGAGGGCTCAAACAAAACCTTGTGTGCACCAGGACACCCCACAGAGACTGAGCCAGACCTGCCTTTGAGTGTTTTGAGTGTCTCCTGTGTTGGTACAGGTCAGCAGTGGCCTGCCACAGGGACAGGGGCTCTGGGTGCAGCAGACCTGGGTGTGGCATAAGCCCTCTTGGAGGAGGTCGCCATTAACCCCACCATAGAGCCTCCAGAACTTACACAGGACTGGGAAACAGACTCTTGGAGGGCACAAACAGAACCTTGTGTGCACCAGGACCCAGGAGAAAGGAGCAGTGACCCCACAAGAGACTGACCCAGACTTGCCCGTGAGTGTCCAGGAGCCTCCGGCAGAGGTATGGGCCAGAGGTGGCCTGCGCAGTGTCAGGGGCACTGAATGTGGCAGTGCCTGCATGGGGCCTTTTGAAGGCGGTCTCCATTATCTTCATTACCTCCACCATAGTTTGGTCTCAGGTCAAACAACAGGGAGGGAACAGAGCCCCACCCCTCAACTGAAAATTGGATGAAAGATTTATGAGCATGGCCCTGCGCATCAGAACAAGACCCAGTTTCCCCCTCAGTCAGTCTCTCCAATCCGGAAGCTTCCATAAGTCTCTTATCCTTATCGATTAGAAGGCAGTCAGAATGAAGACCACAATCACAGAAAGCTAATCAAACTGATCACATGGATGACAGCTCTGTCTAACTCAGTGAAACTATGAGCCATGCCCTATAGGGCCACTCAAGACAGATGGGTCATTGTGGACAGTTCTGACAAAACGTGGTCAACCGGAGAAGGGAATGGGAAACCACCTCAGTATTTTTGCCTTGAGAACCCCATGAACAGCATGAAAAGGCAAAAACAGGACACTGAAAGATGAACTCCCAAGGTTGGTAGGTGTCCAATATGCTACTGGAGAAGAGTGGAGAAATAACTGCATAAAGACCGTTACAGTATACTAACAGATATATATGGAATTTAGAAAGATGGTAACGATAACCCTATATGCAAAACAGAAAAAGAGACTCAGATGTATAGAACAGTTTTAAAATGGGTTTAATGCGATTGCCTGTTGTTTCATCTCATTGCTTGATATTTTTTTAACAATGGATCCTGACCTTTCTCCCCCATATACCCCAGGACATTTGTTTATTCACTGCTCACTAGAGGGAGGCCGTTTCCAGTTGTATTCCTTTTCAGAGGCTTTGTCTTCTGCCTGGGAAATGGATTCCTCCAAGGCTACTATCTGGTTTACTGTGCTGAATACCCTGCTGAGTGGTACACAGACATACGGTTTAGCCTGGGTAAGTAAACCTGACTGCTTCTAACCTGTACCCTAGTTAACACCACTTTCTAAGGCTATATCACCATCACCTCTCCCCATCCTATTATAATAAACACTCAAGGATTCCATTCCTCCTCCCCTACCACGACTATCTCCACTCTGGTCTTTTCTCTGTACAGCAGCCGGAGAGATCTTTTAAAAATATTATGGCATTCCCCATTTCAAAATCCTCCAATGCATTTCTGTTACTCTCAGGATAAAATACAAATTCCTTACCACTGCTTGTGAAACCCAATGTTCTTGATCCTGTCCTGACTTCACCTCCTATCTCCATCCATCTTATTTACTGTACTGTAGCCTCAGTGGCCTTCCTGCTGGACCTGAAATGGTCAAGTTTGTCCTGGCCCAGAGCTGCTGTGCAGACTACACCCTCTGTCTGGAATGCTCAACCCCTATATACTCAGGGAGCTGGTCCCTCCTTTTATTTAGGTCTCTGTCAGTTCACATCTCCTCATTGACACTTTCTTGACCACCTATATAAAATAGTAGAAAACAATGATCCTTGAATATTTTTCATTATCTGTAAGAGGAACTAAAGTTTTTTGGGTTTTTTTGTTTTTAATAAAATAAAGACTCAACTGTTTGTGCATTATTCTTGCTCAAAGGAAGAAAGGCAGAGATTATCCTTAATCCTTCTCTTTACATCACACATGTTCTCTCCATCAGCTTAGAACAGCTCCCTCTAGTTCTAAAACATGTGCCAGTTGAGCTCAGTTCTCCATGATCACGCTAACTTCATCCTGGTCTGAGCCAGGATGACCTCTTGCCTGGACTGCCACAGTGACCTTTAAGTTAACCTTCCTACTTCAAGTCCTGGTTGTTTCTCCACACAGCAGAGTGAACATTTGAACACACGAATGGCCAGAGGATTTGTTGTATGAATGCCAGAACATGAACACAATGGAATATTCTGAAGCCTCAGAAAAATAACCAAAGCAAAACAAAAGCAAAGAATGTCTCTTTTTCATGTGGAGACTTCTCTGGAATACATGGTTTTGTAAAAAAGAAAAAGTGTGCATAGTGTGTATACCATGCTGTTTTTTGTGTAGAAATAGGACAATGTTTGTGTGTGTTTAAAAGTGGAAGAGCAAATATTGGATTGATAAAAAAAACTATTTTTTAAAAAAGAGTATCTCTAGGGTTTAGGGTAAAGAGAATGGGATGGTGGGCAGAAATATTATTTTAAGATAGCTTTGTCCTTTGAATCATGAAACTTCAAAACATAATTAAAAATCCATTAATTAAATTTAATTAAAAACTTAATTAAAAGTTCCTCAACATTGAGAACAAATAAATAAATGTACCTAACTGTATAGTTATTCAACTGGTAGCATAACCATACAGGGAAATGATTTATGCCAATTTATAGGAAATACAGAGAATAAAGAAATAAGTTAAATGCCACCATGAGGAAGTAAGCCAGTCTTATCTAGAAAGGGGGGCATTTGAGAGACCACTGTCCAGTCTTTGAGGAGTTTACCCAAGATGGTGGAGTAGAAGGACATGCGCTCATCTTCTCCTGCGAGAACTCCAAAACTAAAATTTGTGGCTGAACAACCATGGATGGGAGAATGTTGGATCCCACAAAAAAAAGATACCTCACATCCAAGGGCAAAGGAGAAGCCCCAGCAAGATGGTAGAAGGGGTGAAATCACATTTAGAATCAAACCCCATACCCACCAGAGGCACTTGGAGGGCTCAAACAAAACCTTGTGTGCACCAGGACACCCCATGGAGACTGAGCCAGACCTGGCTTTGAGTGTTTTGAGTGTCTCCTGTGTTGGTACAGGTCAGCAGTGGCCTGCCACAGGGACAGGGGCTCTGGGTGCAGCAGACCTGGGTGTGGCATAAGCCCTCTTGGAGGAGATCACCATTAACCCCACCATAGACCTGCCAGAACTTACACAGGACTGGGGAAACAGACTCTTGGAGGGCACAAACAGAACCTTGTGTGCACCAGGACCCAGGAGAAAGGAGCAGTGACCCCACCAGAGACTGACCCAGACTTGCCCGTGAGTGTCCAGGAGCCTCCGGCAGAGGTATGGGCCAGAGGTGGCCTGCGCAGTGTCAGGGGCACTGAATGTGGCAGTGCCTGCATGGGGCCTTTTGAAGGCGGTCTCCATTATCTTCATTACCTCCACCATAGTTTGGTCTCAGGTCAAACAACAGGGAGGGAACAGAGCCCCACCCCTCAACTGAAAATTGGATGAAAGATTTATGAGCATGGCCCTGCGCATCAGAACAAGACCCAGTTTCCCCCTCAGTCAGTCTCTCCAATCCGGAAGCTTCCATAAGTCTCTTATCCTTATCGATTAGAAGGCAGTCAGAATGAAGACCACAATCACAGAAAGCTAATCAAACTGATCACATGGATGACAGCTCTGTCTAACTCAGTGAAACTATGAGCCATGCCCTATAGGGCCACTCAAGACAGATGGGTCATTGTGGACAGTTCTGACAAAACGTGGTCAACTGGAGAAGGGAATGGGAAACCACCTCAGTATTTTTGCCTTGAGAACCCCATGAACAGCATGAAAAGGCAAAAACAGGACACTGAAAGATGAACTCCCAAGGTTGGTAGGTGTCCAATATGCTACTGGAGAAGAGTGGAGAAATAACTGCATAAAGACCGTTACAGTATACTAACAGATATATATGGAATTTAGAAAGATGGTAACGATAACCCTATATGCAAAACAGAAAAAGAGACTCAGATGTATAGAACAGACTTGTGGACTCTGTGGGAGGAGGCGAGGGTGGGCTGTTTCAAGAGAACAGCATCGAAACATGTATAT